CACTCGAGTCCGAATTCAATTTGTACGGATTCCCAGAACTAGGACGGCCTTTGCTAGGCTTGGACACAGTACATAAACTCTCTTGGTGCCAATTGTTGTCCAGCCTGTTCTCGAAAATGCCTAACACCTATCCGTGGTCAGCCGATTTACAACTGTTTCTCAATGTGTACAATGGAACGTTGATTTTGCATGCCGAAGATTCTTCCGTTCTACGACAGTGTCTGGCTTTTTATATTCAGGTACTGGAATTGTCCATGAGCGTTTTACGTATGCTTTCCTGTTAGAAATTATTTTGACGAATCAAAAACAAGACCAACTAAATAATGTGAAACGCTTTATGACCAACATTTAAGGAATGGACTCACAGTGAGTTCACAGGGTAAGGGCTATGTAGACATTTGCAGAACCCAGAAGTGTGCAAAGTGACAATCTCATTTCCTTAACACTGTTCGAGAAACAAAAGAATGGTCACTTGACTGGTTTTGCTCACAATATCTTTTGATACATCTATGAAAAAGACAATGAAAAACAATACTGGTAACACATTTTTATTTGCTAACTCATCAAAATCGAAGTATGATTCACAAACCACAAAAGCCTTGCAAAATAATTATCGGTCACAGGTTGCTCCCAATTTGTCGTCTGTTACGAAATAGACAATCTATTCCTCTTACACAAATGTACGTTCTTTTTGCATAATATACACGGGTAATTTGAGCTCCGTTTTCTTTGTAGCTCAAAAAGAAACATCCCATAAAGCTCGATTCGATTTTGCGCAGTCTGAAACTGACTTCCCTTGCCATACAGTCTCCAATGCTAATATCACCCCAATGGTTTTCCGTAGAGATTTCATCCAGACCGTGTGCAGGCCAACCAAATATCTTAATACTTCGACAAAAATCTATGATCGTTTCAAATAGCATGTGTGTATTGAGGCCTGTTCCTGGGGAAACTCTAGGATTCCGCGTATTTAAAAAAGCAGTAATAAGTTTTTCGAGTGTTCACATAGGACACGTGCAGTTTGATCAGTTTGATCAGCGCAGTCCACACCGTAAGCGAATCACGCCCTGGAACTGAATTATTCTGGTTTCTTTACTCAAATCCTGTCAATCGTCGGAGAGAAGGTAGGCAGGATTAGTCCGGATTGAACCGGGTCCCATCACTGAAGACTATTCTGGCCCTGTGATCAGTTCATATGGTGCGTCTTTCTACCCATCCGAAACCCTCGTACACGTCACCTGTTGTCAATTGTGGGTACCTTAACAATCACGGATACCGGATTTGTGGCTCGCGTCATTGTACATATATTGTCTTGAAGCTACTTTCTGACTGATTGAGGCCGTCTGCTTTGCTGTGCTAGTGCACTGATTTGAAACAATGGTAGCAACCACCGACCCGTTCGTGTCAATATCATGGGACGTCTTCGTCTTCGACCGAATCCGTATTTGCGAATTGGTATTCACTGTGTTTTATCCGCCGTGGACATGAAAATGGCAAACCTCACTTTTATCCTCTCAGTTAACTCTGTTTGCCTGAGTTTTGGATCAGACTATGAGGTACTTTATGTGGGCGTGATATCTCGTTTTGTGATCAGGTTTGTGTCATAACTTTACATGATTTACTTGAATTATTTGCATTAAAATGTACTCTACTGTCCCCTTCGTCAAACTCAATTGTTATGTCGGTCAAGTTTGTCTGTGTTAGGGGCCATCCCAATTGCGTTTGTCTCAGAGTGGTCAATATTTATTTCACACCTACTTTACACTATTTGTTCCCATTTCGGCCCAGCCCAGAACCAACTCAGAAATTCGTCAAAATTGATTCACAACTTTCTTTGTTAGCTCGTAAAAGATGGGCAAGATGCCTGGGGATGTGACGATGTTCTGACAAAAATCCAAGTGACCATTATATTATTTTCTTGCGCTGTATCATAAGTGTACTCCGCTGTCAACCCGCTGTTTTCACCACCCCGGGACGCTCTAGGACGCTAATGCAACTGTATTAACGTGATTTGTGTTGCGAATGCACATCGACCGTGTTGATCGCTGATTAGCATGGCCTGTCGAGCGATCGATATTAAGACCCGTGTGATCTAGTAATTTGAAACACTCGGTCTACTTTATCTATCGCATGAGGGCCAAAAAAGCCACTTCGTGAGATGTTAATATTTCATTTATTCTCCTCGATCGATAACGTAAAACAAACAGGCACATGTACAACACATTGGGTAGATAACTCCTAGTGAACGGACATGTACACATAGACAGGGGTTATTAAAATGGAAAACAAAAGGTCAACTCCATGGCAAGTGAACTGATTGCGTCAATATGCACACAAAACGGGATGATATTATCTGATTAATAACGCCTCACTAGTTGCCAAGTGTTTAGCATTGCGGCTACGTAATAAGGGTTTGAAAGAGGAAGCCTGATCAATTATATGTTTGGTTATCCTAAGGTGTTTTGCAGTAGATGACCTCGGGATCCTTGTGGCCGCCTGACTATCGGGTTGAGCCATCCCCTTCACCAACCACTTTGGTATACCTTCGGTCTGTTTTGTTTTATGTCAGCAATTAAGCAAACTATACGTTGACAACTCGCGACATGTGTCTTTTTTCGCTTTGGACGCGATTTGATTTCGTGCCAGCTGAACAGTCGTGCTAGCCACGTGAGATGAGTTGAGTTATCGACACACTTGTTTGGATAGTCATCACAAAGCACGTGTATGGTGCCACTACACACCTACAGGTTCACCAAACGACACCAGATTTCGAACTCTTTGGGTGTTCACAATATCTTCTCACCCTGGGGTATGAATGACAGTATTTTGACCGAATTTTCGTTCCTATAGGATAAGTGAATATTACCGTTATTCGACCCTGTGTTGTTGGACAATAGGCATCACTTTGCAACCATCGGAACACGTTCACTGAAACAAGGTACCAAAATTCCTTTCAAACTCAACGGGTTTAATGCCGTTTTTTGGTTGTAACAACATTTGTTGCCTCAAATTTCACCGATCGGAACACGAGAACATGTTCGGGTACGAATCATTCCTCTGAGTGATTGGATCAATAACCCTCATGGAGAAATTATACGGGTTCGAACCTGATTTTCTATTTACGATAACGATTGTGTGTGTGGTATAAGAGCCATATTTCGTGAACATTCTTAGACATTCGTCAAGGAAAAGTAATCGTACAGGAGCAACTTCTTTCCAGACGGCAAAGATTGTGCATCAGCGAGCTGTGTTAAGCGTGAACACCGGAATGAAGGCGATAAATTATGAACATCAAGTTCTCTCAGATCGATGTGACGAAATTTATCTTCTGTTCCTCGGCCTGGTATTTTGTTTGTAAATATCTCATCTACAGCTGAGGAAACTATTTGTGGTATGGTGCTGTTTCTTATCCCATTGCACCGATGGACCCACAAGAATGGGGTTAACTCTTCAACCTTGAGTGGTGCTTTGACCGGTTGTCAGATCTCGGTGTGACCTATTTTCTCGGCACTTGCTCCTCCAGTTGCATAAGCACTTACTCGTGCTCGGAGTCAGGGCGCTTGTTCACCAAGTTACTGGACAAGTGCAAAGCCCAGAGAATTTCCCTGGTGTATTTTCACAGGGGGCTTAATCAATGAATTTTACTGATTCAAAATCATTTTGAGATCATTTTTGATCTTCATAGATTGAAATAAGTTAGGGTAAGTTGTCCCCTCTAATTATCGACTAGGGTCCACGAACACTTGTTGATACTGTTCTTCCAGTTTGTTCGATACAATAATTCAGACAGTTGCACTCTTGGACAATTAAGAGCTAAGAGATTGGTGGACGAATTGCAGGGTCTACTTGCTCACATGGAGTCTATGGTCTTAAGAGTGATCTGTGATTGTGTCAGTTGTCGTGTTCAATGAGTTACTCTATCCACTACTTGTAGATCACACTTGAACAAGCAGGAGCCAACCGGTGGCTAAAGGGTACAGACACAATACTGACAACGGAACATGTAATCTGCAATTCGGGTGTATAATACATTCTGTGGTACAATTCCGTGTATGTACAACTTGAAATGCCTTGCTGTTTGTTAAGCCAATCCGTGTGCACAGCCACCGTTTTGTTGAATTCCGTTCATTCATTTCCTGGTCAGCTCGCTTTTATCATTCAAAGAAACGTGGTTAATAAAATGCACTAAAGTGCATGACTAATGGTTCTACAAACTGAGCTGAACTGAACTCTGTTACAGACCACACTATGATGAGTTGTAGATGTAATTCACTAGTAACTACTGTCCCGTTATGGATACCAGTAATCGAACAACGTGGACTTCCTGTCGCGAAGCCCATAAATAGCCAACAGAATAAGCAAAGGCATTGAACCGGAAGAGATACAGTTAATTGGACGCCTTGTTCTGATTTTGACACATTTATTCAGCTTCATTGTGTTCAAACTTTAAGTTATGATTAACTATGCTGCTTGGGAAACAGTTTACCATAATTGAAAGTAAGCGATACCTCCAAGATCACTACCATGCATCTTTGAAAACTTCCATCATGTGTTATCCATTGGATTGTTTTTGTTTAAACCTTCCTCATCTTTCTTTCCTTCATCTCAACGGGAACTCAGTGTTGCTACCAATTTAAAACGGCATTCTCCACCAGCGGTTACGCGGGCATCCTTCCCACATTGATTCGTGTCTACAATCAACAAGTGAACAATGCGGTACTCACACATGCTGTCGAATTCACGTGCCGCCAGTTCTACGTGATGCATCGAACGCCCTTCATATTGCAACTGTTCGGTAGTCTGGCCAACTATGTACTCATTGGAGACGAGTCTACCGCGATGTCGGACGACTTTTATCGGGTGAGTAGTTTCCACCGAGTTACAGGGAATTTACCTGGATTTGCGTTTGAATAAGTGTATCTTCTGTATGTTATACAACGAAAAAAAACGGAAGCTGATTACTTTAGCATTAACTTGGTATACTTTTTTAAATACCCAGCTCCGTTTACGAAATTTCTTTTCTAATTGTACTCTAGCACTCATTTCGTTCCTGAAAATCGTATCCGGGGTCACAATGAAAACCAAGATGGTCCGTTTGTTTTCTTCCAAACTGGTTTTTAATTTCTTCCAATTTCTTTGGAGCCCTCACTTTGTTCGTAAGAAAACACATTCTCCTCTCCATGCTAGGAATCATTCCGACCGAGAAATAACCCTGGAAGTACAATGATAAAATGAGAGAGAGAGAATAGTTATTCCAAGAACAAATACCAATGTAACTTGCATCTGTTTGTGCATGGTCAAAGAGTAAGTGTCTGATAAGCTGCTTGGTAGTCTGGCGGTCACTGTTTNGGTTCCATATCTGAGGTGCTCGGGGTCATATTCTCAGTCGTATCATGAGCTTTGCAATACAATTGCTTCTGCATAGGAATGAAACGGTTTTACAGTAGTAATACGACAAGGCTCAGTTCATAATTAAGCTCACCACGACAAAAAAACCCATTGTAATCCGTGATTCCGGTCCTTATTCGAACACGAAGGGGAATTATGTTCTATCGATTACATGATTGAGAAATGAGACGTTGATGTGTACGAAATCACGTTACACTCGCTTGAATTGCAGATCAGCACATTGAATCGTAATAATTTTTTTCAATACATGACACACTTTCAATTTTATTCATTGTTTATACAATTGTTAATTCAATTTTGAGGAAGGGAGCTACGGGCGTACAAGGGAAGTACAGAGATGGAACAGATAAGTAGAGGTGGTTGCGTTTGAAATCTGGTTCTCCAGGTTGATATTTAGATGATCTCAATCACTGGACCACTGCAGTGTCAAACGTCGGACGTGGCTCTAACCCATATGCACGCACCAGAGCGATAGCACTGATTACGAACAGTCAATGACTATCGAATTGGGATAAATTATCCAACAGACTGCATTTCCTCTCACAATCCACAGTTCATCCCGTCAACCACGTACTCCGAAACCTCTACTCTCTCGAGTGCTACTCCAGTTAGTGCACACCAGTAGTGCATATTTACAATCCCGTCCATAATTTTACTTACCGACCCCTCGAATGCCAGCTTGCGTATTGCCACCTAGATTAGGCGAAAGCTAAGCAGGATTATCAATTCAGATTTTATCAGATACCCTGGATGGGTATTTGGATATACCCTACTGAAGAGTCCTAACTGGAGCGAAACTTAATGCCTCCGCGGTACGTGGGTAACTGGATGAACTGCGGGTGCTGCGCGAAAATGAAGTCTGAGGGGTGGTCAGTCAATATCACTTATCTCAAACTGCTACTCACAAGTAGCTGTAAATTGACTGCAAAAGAAATTTGTGGAAGCTCCATACCATTTTTCTTGTCACTGAAACGTTGTTTCAGCACTGCTATACGATTGGATGACTGGACTGACGTTTTGATTGGTCTGTGAAGGAGCCCAAAAACCTTCTACCCCCTACTGTGTTTACGTACGGACCACACGTTTACGGTCAGTACATTGTTTTACCATGCATGATCCTAGTAGAAAGCATCTGCAGTTATCTCCGGTCACAGCTTTCGGGATTGCAAAATAGATAGAAATTCATGGTACAGAAGAATGAGATGCGTTCCTGTTGTCGCTGTAGGGATGTTCTAACCGACCACTGACATGATAATTCTTAATCATTTTCACACAACTCTGAAACAAAACCAAAAATATTAATGGTAGAACTCGCTAAGCGGCCGATTTGAACCTGACTTTCAAAGACACTCTTAGGCCGCCTCCAATTACACCACACAAGCTAAATTAATCCGAAATGGTTCAGGAAAATATGGATCACTCCGTGATCACTCGACTTCGATGCAAGCGACAGGTGCACAGTTTAGTTTATTCAGGAAGTGATCATACAGGGATCTACTGTTCAAGCAGTCAGAAAGAAAGCTCGAGAAAGGGGAGCAGAACACGTGAATAAACAATCGTTTAAAGTCCTTCGTAGGTTTATTTTTTAACCAATTCGGTTATTCAAAAAATTTCTTGTAGTAATAATTCAGGTGCAGAATGTCAACGATCGATTCACAACCCTGAAAACTATAATACTTAGTTAGATAGGCTAGGTTAAGTGCTGACATCAAATTTGTAATCATGGGTTGCAACATGTGTGTGTGTGTACGTGGAGGGAACCAGTTAGATTAATTACGCGGTAAACATCAGACTTTAGTGTGATTATGTCCTGCCTGGGATGTCCCGCATTCTAATCACAGTTGATTCGCCGCATTTCTAATGCTGATGAACTCAACAAGGTTTAAACTGTTGCATATGCTGCCCAAATTTTCATTCTATATTTTTATCGAATGTTGTGCAAAGGTAAACAAAAACTATGGATCAGGTTTCGGACTACATCACTCAGGCGCGATAATTGTTTTAAAACCGCAAGATAGTGCCGCAAAAAGGCCAATTATCCATTAAAGCACATAGGATAGAGTACATAAGGTAACATAAAACGAAACATCTAATTTGCAACGATTGGTTGGTATTTTCGTGATCTTCTCTTCATCGTTGGTTGCCGGCCAGAGAGTCTCCTTGTATCTTCTGCAGTTTCAGAGGTGAATCCTTTAATCTACTCGTGGATGCCCTGGGCATCCAAAGGCAGCTTCTTAATGAGCATAAACTACTCACGAATGTGAGTAGTAGCACTTCAGAACACTATGACTCTAACATTGAGAAGTCGAAAATCGTATCACTGAGTCTCACGGTCGTTGGCCAATACTTTAAACTTGATAACCCTGTAAAAAGTGTTAGTCCACGTCGTTCTGTGTTTTCTGAGTCACATTTGAAATACTCTTACCAAGCCCTTAGATTCTGATTTGCTCAGAACAACTCTCATTGCGTGCACTGGTGCGCGGATCAGATGACCACATTGAGAAATCCATGAATAAGATCTATTCCCGAATCCTCTTTCATGCGCACACTTATCTCATTGTCTTCAGATTCAACCAGGAACACTATACCGACTGTTACGTTCCATTAACCGACCTTCAGTGGATAACTTGAAAATTTTAGAGTTGTGCGATGTTCAGAAACCACTCCGGGCCTTGGTGAGTCACGGTGTTGTTGTTGTTGTTTTGCCTTCGTCTTTCACCTTCATTGTTCTGATTCTGAACTGAATGAACCATATACAGTGTATTTAAAATAAAATTATGGTAATCCATTCATTCATACACGCTTGGAAACACAAGTCATTCGTGGTGAACTGGAAGCCAAAAATCACGGGTTTGCACGATTTATCCTAGATTATTTCGTTGCACCTATACACATGAAATCTTCAGTCTAAGTGATCAGTAATCAATATTCTAATGCTGAATCTCTGGCCAAGAACACCTGTGAAAAACGTCACACACCGAACACCGCTGTCATCGTGATTAGTCATTTACACTTTTTACACAGCGCGAGTTGTCCAGTTGAGGTGACTGGTGTCTGTCGCAGCTACGTTAAAAATCCTATGCGCTCTTGATTGTGTCACTCGTTCATAAATAACAAATGCACTTTAACGCCTCAGGAGGAGTGAGTTGACCAAATATAGGCTTTCAAGGAACCAAGCTCGAACCACCATTGCCGCAGTTGAATGCACTCCGTACTAATCATTTCCGATTGTAAAGAATTTACTTATAAAAATGGGGTGTGTTTATTTTTTCTCTAACTGAAACAAATCAAAACAATTTTTATTCCAAATGTTTAATTACACTTTGTGGAAAAATTACCACAAAATTGTAGTCGGTATAGAATAACTATTATTATATATCTCATACAATCCGGGATTGAGAGATAAAACTAGATAGGGTTTCCCAAATGAGTGCCTGAGACTTTAGAGGTTGATATAACACCCCAACGAAGGGTTTTTTCTTTAGGAACCCTAACC